CATGCCTACAACAAAGGGAGATCAGTCGAAACAGCACTCCATTCTTTAGTGCACACAATCGAAACATCATTTTATTACAACGAATACACCCTCGCGGCCTTCCTGGACATCGAGGGTTCTTTCAACAATGTACCTCCTGCAGCGATTATCTCATATTTGACAAATCTGGGAGTAAGCAATTCACTAACCTCATTTATTGAACGAATGAATGTTAATCGGTCGAGAAATAAGCGTAGGATTAGGCGAATCAGTAATAAAAAGGACAGCCTAAAGTAGACAGCCTTCTTCGGGAACTTGAAGATATTGGCGGTCAGATAATTGCATACGCCGACGATATTGTAATAGCTATCTCGGGTAAACATATCTCAACATTGACAGATCTGATCCAAAGATCCCCCAACAAACTATCCCAGTGGTGTAACAGTCCAGGCCTGGGAGTGAATCCTGAAAAAACAGACCTTGTGCTGTTCACTAGGAAGAACAAGACACCTAATCTCGGGAACATAACTCTAGAGGGCAACAGCCTCGCAATAAAGGAAGAGACCAAATATCTAGGTCTCATAGTAGATAGGAAACTAAACTAGGGGCCCAACGCTGCAGATAGAGTGCGCAAAGCAACAGTGGCAAAAAAATAGGGGAAAATGGGGGCTGGAACCCAAATAATACACGGCGGTGGTTAGGCCAATTCTCTATCACGGTATAGTGGTATGGTGGAAAACCCTTGGGAAAGGGGTAAACTTCAAAAAAATGGACAAGGTTCAAAGGCTTGCGTCCACACTCATAACTGGTGCGATGAGAACAACACCATCCAAGGCACTGTATGCCCTATTGAATTTTCTTCCGGTGGACCTACAGGCCAAAAAAGTCACAAGTGGTGCGGCAATTCGAATGAACATTCTAAATAAGTGGTCAAATACCGGTAATGGTCACGGTAGAATAATAACGGAGTTTCCGGGGCTTCCCGGATTGGTGGGCTATGCACTTCCCGAAACTGCACCCGCCACAGCGTTCGCGACCCTCCTACCCTCAAGGGAAGAGTGGAAGCATGACGTTGTAAGTAGTGGATAGTCCATCCATGTATACACAGATGGCTCAAAGCTCGAGGGAAGGGTTGGAAGAGGTGTATACTACCATCACCTTAGAATCTCCCTCAGCTTTCGTCTCCCGGACTACTGTAGCGACAGGGCCACTAAACTGGTAAAGTGTGATATGATACCCCAAGTTGATATCTATCTTTTCACTGACAGCCAGGCGGCAATAAAGTCCCTCACGAAGCAGTCGACAACCTCCATGGTAGCCATGAAATGCCGCGCATCTCTTAACGAGATGGCTGAGTCATTTCGCCCAAAGGTAATATGGGTTCCGGGACACTGCGGCATAGAGGGGAATTGTCAGGTCGACGAACTGGCACGACTTGGCACGACACTTCCTTTTGAGGATATAAACGACGAAATAGGAATACCCTTGCAAACTTGTAAGCTACTTATCTCCGAGAGGCTTACTAAAGCAGCGAACGGAAGGTGGCAGAACGAAATCACCTAAAAACTGCCAAACAATTATGGCCGGTACTCAGCGCCAAACGCACTGGCTACTACTGAGTCTAAATAAGCCCAATATTGGATTATTGGTATCCGTCATAACAGGAAACTAATTGGCAAGCACGCCTATCGACTAGGCCTACGTTTACATGACTTCTGTAGAAGTTGTCAAGATGAAGAGGAGGAAACGATTCTGCACCTGTTGTGCCGATACCCTGCCCTATCTAGACGAATGCTCTCCACTCTCGGTAGGCAATTCTTCGACAACTTGGAGGACTTTAGATGCGTCGAAATCAGGGATCTTCTAAAATTCATTCAAAGTTCAAAATGGTCTTATGAGGGATTGGGAGTTGCTGACCCAATATGCGGCATAACAATGGGCCCTGAGCCTAAGTGTGTCTTATAGATGACCGCGACAACCTAACTTAAAGATAAAGATAAAGATAAAGATGAATACGAAGATAATGAAGATGAAGATGAAGATAAAGAAGATGATGAAGATGAAGATTAAGGTGAAGATGAAGATGATGAAGACGAAGATGAAGATGAATATGAAAATGAAGATGATGATAATGAGCAAGATGAAGATGAGGATGAATATGAGGATGAAGATGAGGATGATGAAAATGAAGATGAGGATGAAACAGAAGAGGAAGATGAAGGTGATGAAGAAGATGGAGATGAAGAAAAATATAAATATAAAGATGAAGATGAAATAAAGATAAGGATACAAATAAGATGAGGATTAATATAAAGATGAAGATGATAATCAACAGTTTCATCATATTCATCTTCATCTCCGCTTTATCTTTATATTTATATTTTTCTTCATCTCCATCTCCATCTCCTCTTTATCGTTATCCTTTTCTTTATCTTCATCCTTATCCTTATCCATATCTTTATCCTTATCCTTATCATCATTATCATTATCATTATCATTATCATTATCAATATCAATATCACTATCATCACCATTATCATTATCATTATCATTATCATTATCATTATCATTATAATTTTTTTTATTTTTCATTTTTATTTTTTTTCGTAGGAGAGGGAAATGCTTTATGCACTTCCCGGGGGCGCTAGTCTCTATACTACCTTCCCCGAGTGTGGGACTCCCACCGAAGCGTGTTGGGCTACCCACTAAAACCCAAACTCCCACCGCCCGCGCAAGAATCCCGCATCTGGCACCGCAATTCTGCATGTCTTCAGATGCAGGAGCGCGCTGCTAGAGCCTCGGGGCCGCTCTTTTGTATCGGCGTTTCATTCGGGTGTCCTCAGTAGACAACCGTCCTCTCGTTTGCAGCGGAGTACGAATTTCACGTATCTCGCAACTGC